GGTCGCCTACAGCCAATCAATGAATTGATGCAGTTTGATTGGCTACATTTTCGCAAGACAATGGCTTCACCGGAAGAGCTATGGGCCGGAACGAATTAAACTCGTTAGCCACGAGGTTCCACTGCACAACATGCAAATCACGGTTTCACTACTTTTGATACGGTCCGTGCCACTTCTTATTTGCAATCCTGAAGCACGATCCAGCACAAATTCCAGAAGGGTTTGCAGTTTTTCATCCAAATCGTCGTTCTTGTATAGCTAGGGCTTATGATTGTTTCGGAAGTGGTTTGGCAATCGGGATTGTGGCGGACGGCCATTTATGCTGTTCCCCCTCCCAATGCTCGCTGCGTCAACGAAATGTGCCTTCGCAGGCGGCTGTTCCTACTTGCTGACCAGAAGACCACTTGACCGATATTCAGTCACGCACACACACGCGTGCCTAAATAATCGCGGCTTCCTCAGGGTCACTTAACACGCCACCTCTTTGTTCAACGCAGCAGGAGGCCTCTGCAGGCGACATCCACTCCAATGGCAAACCACTTTAACCTACTACGCAATCCTACTTAAGTAATTGTCACCAGTCTCATTCTGTCAGGCATGACTGGACGCAGTCAACACTAGCCCTGGCTTCGCCAGTGGCCACTGCCGCCTGGGACAGCAATATGGATTTCTGGATACAATAAATCACTCCTTCTGGTGTCTTCTGTCTTTTACCTTTAACCTGGAGATTTCGCCCGATGATTGTAGTGTACTAAGCACAACCATTACTTAGACCCCTAAAGGATGACATGGATTAGCCGCCCCTCCTGGGAGAGGGGAGCCTAATTACACGGCCTTATAAGCCGCATTTCAGAAGCAGAAACAGCAAGCGTCGTGATCAGCAGCCTTGTCGGTAGATTCACCTTCAAGAAAGGCGATAAATTACGGAGTAAGTGCCACCGCACTGCAAGAGTTCACCTTACTCTTTTCAGCCTGCACCACAACAGGCGGACCAACACAAATTTCCGTCAGGATGACAGTATGTTGATAGACACTTCTGGCTTTGTCGACCGGCCCTGTTGTCGGGTTCTGCCTGCAGTCAGTAGTACAGTTAAAATGGAGCCTCGGATGATGAACAGCTCCATTTACGAGCATTTTAGGTAACGAGCGAGCCACTAGCAGAAAATGTGTTTTGGTTGACGAGCTTCTGCTCAGTAAACGAACTGTCAGTGCGTGTGCGCCTGTGTCCGCCGTTGATTCTTGCTCCCAGGGCGTGGGTCTTCGATGACATGCAACCAATCAGTGAACAGATGCAGCTGGACTGGTTAGGTTTCGCAAGACGAGCGCTTCATATGACGAGTTCGGTACCAGAACGCATTAACCTCGTTAACCGCCAGATTCCACACTGTGCAGGACACCGAAATTGTATCATTAGATTCAGGCCTACGGTCACGCTTCACACCGCAATTGGCGCAGGAAAAGGAAGTAATGCACTTTTTATCTGCCCTTGCCGATAAGCACCTTTCGCCTCAGAAGATGCTATCGCCGGAAAATAAGGTGACTCTTCGCCTTAACTGCTTCCTGGAACTCGTCTGGTCGCCTCCATTGGCAACCTGTAGCTTTTTCGGCCCGACTAGTTTCCTTGAGTGGATTCTGCCGGCTGCTTTGTCGCTGTTTGCCAGAATTGCCTGGCATGGCGCGCTTAGCAACAACAACGAAAAACCCCGAAGTTGCACCGCTGCATGCCAGCCTACTGTCACGGGATGAGGATCGCGAGGGAAGG